ATTTGTTTAACTTTCATCTTGGTTCCACTTTAATAAAAAGCCTAAATTGACCCTATCATCACCTGTGACTTCATCAGCTGAGTCATTAATCAGAAGTTTAAAAATTGTACTCATCAAGCATCACTTCTATTTGCCAACAAACTGTTTATTTTCCCTATTACAGCCAATATTTCAATCACCGTAATATCAACACATTGATAAGTGACAGAATGCTCTGCTACCCTTGCCCGTGCTTCACTCCAACATCACTGGCTCTGGATGTTTTGACATGCTAAAGCAGGGGTAGGCAACCTCGACACTCCATCTTTGGTGAAATCCCATCATGCCTCTGCCACTGAGTGTCATGCCTATGGCTGTCGGAGTCTTGCAATGACTCATGGGAGGAAACAGTTGGAGTGCTGAGGTTGCCTACCCCTGTGCCCCTGAGACTGTGTGTGGGAGTGCACATCCAGCCAATCAGCAGCACGAAGTCTGGAACGCTCTGCTTCCCTCGCTGCTGTTTTGGAACACCAGAGGCTGTGTGCACATCCATCCAATCAGCAGCAAGATCACTGCACAGGCTTTAGCAGCCGTGCAAGGACCGGGCACAAGAACCCATTAAAAGAGGCACAGATTGGCAGTTCACAGCTCAGGTCTCAGCACAGCAACTGTTGCTTCAAATGTTTTCTTCTGTCTGTATTGTTGCTCATCCACATTTAAGACCAGCAGGAACATGCATTTGAGGTCCTGCTGCTCAGCCTTGCTTGACACATAGGTCTGTGACTGATGGTTCAGCTGATGTCACATGCAAAATGGCGGCACCCAGCAGCCAACTGAATGCACTTTCTAAGAAAAGAATGGAGGTAGATTCAGTGCAAAAAAAACCCCCACACACTAGCGGTATTTATCCAGAAAGAAATGTTTGCAAGGATAACAAAATCATGGGGACAGTGTCTCTTTAAAGTAAATCTTACATCAATATGCAAGATCCCCTTATACCTTAGAGCCCAAACCCCCATGTAAAGATTGGGCATTACACATTAAAAAAATCCCATAATAGGAGAAAAGTTTAAAAAATATTTATACCTTATATTATAGCCTAGGCAAGGATAACATTATGAGCCTTCCAAGGAAATCCTGGGAAGGCTGAGAATCCTGAATCTCACAAGAAGAAGCCTCCTGCACTGTGCTGACCTCAACCTGAGTGTTTTTTTAGGGACCTTTTTTGTCCCTGCTTTTTTTATTTCTGAAGGTTGTGTAATTGGTTTAACGTGCAGCACCAGTCATCCCTATGGAGGATGCATTTGTTGGAAACCTTAGCCAAATGCAGAAAGCATAGCAAATTCATACCTGTGAATTTGCATTTCCATTTCACATACCTGTGAAATGGAAAACAGATTATAAAGATGCACTATAGCAAAAACAAATGCATTCTGATGGGGCTAACAGCTGTAATAACAGTATTAAGTATATGAATTTCTCTTTTTATTTGCATTGCCTTTATTTACAGTATATTTTCTCCATCTTTGCATGCAGACCAAGCCGTCCACAAAAAGTTACAGTTACAGGGGATGGAACAGACCATGACTGGGGGTGTTTATAATGGTCAGATTTTATTCAAGTGGTTTAAACTAAGGAGAAAAAAAAACTGGAGTAACTTCTTAAAAAGCTGAAGTTTGGCTTAAATGTGTCTGTCACTTAGTGAAAGTTGATTCAAAACTACATGATCATTTTATACTACCTCATCTACAGAGTGACAACGTTGCAGTGATTTCAGGACAGAATGTACAGTGTTGTCCCCTTATTACAGGAAGTGAAAAATCAAAGGATCTACTGGCTGCATCGACAAGTAATAATGTTATGTTACAGGAGAGAATACAAGGAAACAAAATCTGCTATGTTATGGACAGGCCTCATAACATTTTTCTTTTGCCCATGGTTCCACTTTAAATTATACTTACGTGTGCAGGTAGTTAGTGACACAGGGTCAGATTCAGTGACATTATCAGCTGCTCTTGTATATACAATGAATGTGTACGTCTCTCCCGCTGTCAGATCCGTTATATTAGCTGATTCAATAATCACTATTGTATTCTTTGTGAATGTAGATGGCGAAATTTCATTAGTCTGCACTCTGTAGCTGTAAGAGATCTGATACTCAGCTGGTTGAGTCCAACTCAAAGCCACAGAAGTTGTTGTAGAGGACGTATAGTGCAGTGCATTCACTGATATTGGTTCTGTAGATAAGAAAAACATTCAGCATTAAAAATTAAAAGATAGAGAAATAGCTAAATAGCAGTGCAGCTGAAAGATGAAAATTATGTTTCATCTGCCCAAATGATACCCACCAGCCATGATTTCATTGCTGGGAATGCTGGAGGGAATTACCATTTAAATGTAATCAGCGCTACTGCTGGAGATCCCTCCAGTATTTTCTACAATGGTTACATTGTATCTCTTGTTACTAAGATGTACAGTAGATATGTCCTATGACCCTTATTACCAAGTGGACATAATGTGGCATTTTCCCCATTTACTCAATGTTGTATACAAATGAACCTATTTTTACTACTACCCATATTATCGGTATCTGTAAAAAATAAGTCAAGGCAACTGGACTTGCTGTATTTTTCTTGAAGACGTTTCACTGGTCATCCAACCAGCTTTCTCATTTCAAAATGACTTGTACAAAAATTGACTCACACCACCCTCTAGACCACAAACTGGGACTCCCACCACCCTCTAGACCACAAAAATTGACTCCCACCACCCTCTAGACCACAAACTGGGAGTCATCAGAACTCTACACCACTGGGCAGAGAAAATGCCCACCAGAACAGAGGCCAAGACGAAGGAATTCAAACACCTCAGGGGGGCCCTTAAAACTTGCGGTTACCCAGACTGGGCTTTTGTCAAAACCGAAAGAAGAAGAGGAAAAAATGCCAAGAAAGGCAGTGAGGGTGAAAAGCATGACAAACTGAAGAATTTGGTCATCCCATATGTAGCTGGGGTCAGTGGCGTAACCAAAAAAAAAATGTTTTATTAATTCATTTTTTATTAAATATTTACATTTTTTCTTTACTTTTAGGGGCTCCGGGGAAATATTATAGGTCTAAACAGACCCCTGATATTTCCCTTTTAAAATAGAAAAAGAGATTGAGAACACAGAGTCCTCAATCTCTTTTTCTGTGTCCCTCGTTATCAATGAACATGAATCTTCTATACTGAGTGTTCCTGTTCATTGAGAATATAGTATGTTTACTATAACTACAATTATGAATGAACAGGAGGGGATATAGATCACTCCCATTCATTCATAATTGAGGATATAGTATACATACCAGGTCCTCAATTATCTACAAACACTCAGCGATCACTGATCACTGAGTGTTTGCTCTCACTCTCTTCTCTGACACGCTGTCACAGGAGGCTGAGCGAGCGGTGTAGGGAGGAGAGCTCAGCCTCCTGTGACAGCGTGGGCTGTCTCCCACACCGCTCTGTAGGACTGTGATAGGCGGCTGAGCGGTGTGGGAGGAGAGACACCGGCCGATCCCGGCGGTCTCTTCCTGCATCGCTTGGCTGGCTGTCACTTTCGCTGCTCTTTATCCCAGCGCAGAGGAAAGAAATCACGGCTGCACTGACAAAACGGCAGGAACATGGCACTTTCGGCATTTAGCCAAAAACTTTACGCCAAGGGCCAGCGCATCGGCCGCCCCCCAGTTGTTACGCCACTGGCTGGGGTGTCTGAGAAACTCAGAAGGGTTTTAAAAAAAACAACAAATCCCTGTCGGCTTCAAACCCAGCAATACACTGAGGCAACAACTGGTTCACCCAAAAGACCCAATGCCAAAACACAAGATGAACAACATTGTGTCTGCATTCCAGTGCAGTGAGGAGTGCTCAGAATTGTATGTCAGCGAAACAAAACAGCAGCTACACCAGCGTATGGCACAGCATGGAAGAGCCAAACCCTCTGGTCAGGATTCAGCAGTGTACCTACACCTAAAGGAAAAAGGTCACTCCTTTGAGACAGTCGCATCTTAGACAGGGAGGAGGACTGGTTTAAAAGAGGTGTGAAAGAGGTCATTTATGTAAAAATGGCAAAGCCAAGCTGGAATAGAGGTGTGGGGGAGGGGGGCGGGTGAGACATATATTGTCGGCCACATACAATGCTTTAACACCTCTCTCTGGGCAAGTTATTAACACCCCCTAGACTCCAATTATGCAAATGCAATCAACACATGGTTGCCATTAACAGATTATGTGGATTGGAGCAACATTCACCATATTTATTCCCAGATAATTTTTGTACAAGTCATTCTGAATTGAGAAAGCTGGTTGGATGGCCAGTGAAACGTCTTCACGAAAAATACAGCCAGTCTAGTTGCCTTGATTTATTTTTTACAGATATACCATGATCCGGATGAATGAGAACCTTCACAGACACATATTATCTGTAGACCTTTCAATCAGAGGACAAAATAGCCTAAGAACATTTGATTTTGCCCCATTCATGTAACAGCTAGTTAATTCGCATGGGCCTTATGTACAAAACATTTTGGTGGGGGGGGGGGGGAAATGTATGATTTTTTTTTTATATAAACAGACCCCTAGGTAAGTGTTGCTATGCAGGGACATAGTGGGATTTTCCATTGTATACATCTGCACAGTTTGTGTATCTCATGAGCAAGTTCTGCTAGCTGCTGTGCTGAATCTGGCAGCAAAAATTATGTCTTCTCATCAGATGTGTTTTCTACATGGACACGAGATTTTGAAACTGGAGTCTTTTAGCTCTGATGTATATGCATTGATCACCTCCAGAAGTTGGGGTTTTGATGTTCCCCTGTAGTTAAAATACATTCTAATTTTTTTTAGACACTTGTTACCTGTACAGTACATGTCACAGTTACCACAACCAGGAATCTTGACCCCACTGAACCATCAATAAGATCATCCCAAGCCTGACAAACCAATAGAACATACTCGACTGCACAGAACTTCCAGAAGGAACATTAACTTACTTGTGAAGACATATCTGATGACAGGCGTAGTCTGATACCCCCGGACTCCAATTGTCACCACGGACACCGTGTAATTAGTCCCGGATGTCAGGCTCGCAAGGGCGGCATTTGTTGTGTTGCTTGTCACAGTCCAGTTTAGAGAAGAAGAAGAATTCCAGTAAGTTATAGTATATGACTTTATCACACCGGTCATATTTATTGGCTCTCCCCAAGACAATGAGATGTTGTTTGTTTTGATGTCGGTGAAGGTGATGTCTCCTGGTGGACTCGGATCTGGAAATGGAAAACATCCTAAATTTATTAAAGAACCTATGGTTCTCATAACATAACTATACATTGGGGTTGGATTGGATGGAGATTGGATGGTATCGGAAGGAACAATACAATGCAAAACTTTTTGTTTGGGATTAGAGACAAAGCTGTTCACTTATCACATTTTATCTCCACACAGGAAGCCAATAAAATCTCAGCTGCAATCATCCTAATATAAATGTAACTGCCAGCCACAGGCCAACACAGTGGAGGTCACATAAACCTGAAAAGGAAAGCTGTGTGGGCTGGAAGGATTTTTCCCTTTTTTTCAAATTAAATAATTTTATTTTTTTTAATAAATAAAAGTAGAGGGCACACAAAGCAAACGGAGATATTTGTTGGATGATAATATGCCAGATATTACCTAGTTACAGTCATCTGGACAGTCCAGTGGGCTGGACACAAGCTAGCATCTCCCCCCATAATATTCGTCTACATTTAAAGAGACCCTGTCACCAACTTAAAATATTACAGGTAAGAGCACAGGTAAATTAATCATTCTACATGATTACTTGTCGGGTTTTCCTTTCCATAAGGGAGTTTTTATTCACTTCTTTGAAAATATGACTACTTCAGAAAGAGCCAATTCCCTAGCATAGCCTCCTCCCTCATTGCACATCATAGCCCTCTCCTGTTCTGGGAGTGTCTAATTACTGTCTATGGTGACCCAGCTCATCTACCCCCCTTCACCTCTTACATAACCCTTTATGTAGCTGCTGAGGGAGGAGAGAAGGGAAGTACTATACAGTGTCACTTGAGTGACAGCTCTAAGTCTACTGGAACTGCTGATAGCACATCCAAGATGGCGGCACCCAGTCTCGGGGCTTTCAGATATCTACACAATGGAGGCTGTTGCAGGAAAATGGCATGCATAAAATGCACTAATTAGTCATATAATCTTATTAGAAGAATTATGGTAAAATGTATGGTCTGGTGACAGGGTCTCTATAACAAGAGCGTGAGACTGATACATACCTTCAACAAGCTGCCATGTTGCTCCTTTCACCAATTGAATCTGCTCCCGGTGTAAGCTCAGTGTCAGAGCTTACGCAGAGCTATTGACCTTCTCTCCTACCTCACATGACAATGCTAATGCCAGGCGTCTGACCCCCGAGGACCGAGCACTACAGCCTGGGAGGAAGGAGATAAGCTCATAAGCTCTCCCATACCAGGAAGTACTGGGCATAACCAAGTCAAACGGAATGGTGAGTGAGGAGGTGAAAGAGACAATTAGTAGGTGTGAGGGGTGTCCTATCAAGAGAACCTGTCACTTTACCTTGATTCGGCAAAGTGACAGATTCTCTGCAACTTCAATCAAAATCCAGTGAAAATTCACATTAACAATAAAATAACACAGTGTCAGAAACCAGGAACGAGGCAAAGAGAGTTTATAAACTATGCGCATTTCACACCTCATCTTCTCAGTCATTGATACACCGATCCCCCCTTTAACTCAGATTTGGAGCTTTAATTATAGCGGTTTCAACAAGTACCTTTTTTCTGCGATACATGACGCGCGGCTGTTTTACCCCCGATTGTGTTCGGTAGCACGGACGAAATCGCAGTGGGAAACCATGCGATCCGCCAGCGCGACTGGGGTGCCATTAGAAAATAATGGCACCCACAGCGCTATCGTTGCACACCTGGGCGACTCCTGAGCGTGCGGCAATCCGCGCGGAATCGTGCACGATTGCGGTGGGGTGTTGCCTAGGTGTGCACCGGCCCACACAACAACACAATCAGCGTGATTTTTAAATTGTATAATACGTTTTTGAATGTTGTTGCCATATTTATATACTAAATTAAATACTGACCAGATCTTATAGACTATGTAAAAGCTTCACAATATTATACTCTCTTACTGTCTACCAGTAAATACGGGACATTTTATGTCAATAATACCTTTTATACCCCATTTCCTGAACACTGGGGGCCCCCACAATATAAAATATCCTCATCTAAGTTCATGGAGGGTCGACAAATTAATAAGAAGAGACAGCTGAGGATTTATAGTATGAACACTGAGCAATGTACAGATTATGAATACAGCGCTCATGCTATGCCCAGCAGGTCACATGACCGGATCATACTCACACGTGGCCTCGGTCACCGATGTGGCAATATTGTTACAGTCCCCACTGACTGTCTGTATGGTGATGGTATAGTTCCTGCCTGGTAGTAATCCTGGGAACGTCACTGATAGAGAAGTAGTTTCTTGTATGCTATTTACATCTCCGGTTTTACTGACAATATATTTAGACACTTTCCCTGCTGGTGCCGTCCAGTTCACCACCAGAGAATTCGGTGACTTGTTATTGCTCACTGTGATGATAGAAACTTGTCCAGGGACTAAGAGGAAGAAAAATCAGATAAATGTAAATTTTCATTAAACCATCATCATGTAAATACAGACAAGATACAGATTTAAAGTCCAAACAATCCCTAACAATGAGCTTCTAATATTCCCCCCACCTTTTTTTAATATACAGTGGTAGGCTGGCATATTGTTAGATCTGTTTGATATGAGGTGCAAATACTCAACTGTCCTGTGTCCGGCACACACTTCCAAGAAGAAACTCTTCAGTGGACTAGTTGGTACTACTGGTTACTACTTGAACTGGTCTTTGGGACTGTGAAATAAGGTAAACTTAAGAGCATTACATTATATTCAAGGCTTGGGGACAATCTATTAAAGGAGATCTATGGGGTTAGGGCTTTTCCCCATAGTTCTCCTAAGGGTAACGGGAGGACACAAATTAGCGTCCTCCTGTCCAGTATACCACGAGCTACAGCTCGTGGTATACTGAGACGCCGCAGCTGAAACGGATCCCGACAATTATGTCTGGATCCGCCCAGCTGCGTGAGTGACAGCTGGCTCTGCCTATCTAGAGGCAGAGCCAGCTGTACCCACCACCTCACACGTCCGTTTCGCCAGTCAGCGCTAGAGGATCGGAGTGGGGAGGGGGGAATCCAGTCCCTCAACTGTCACGGCTCTATGCCGTGACAGGATCGAGAAGTGAGCGAACGCCGGTATGTGTTCGCTCACTTCCCGATCTACTGAGCCGACCTGTGACAGTTTAATTGTCACAGGTCGGCTAGAACTATGAGGATGAGTGAAAATCACCCCCCCCCCATAGTTCTCCTTTAAGGGGTTATTAGCTCACATTTCTAGAAAGAGAGTTTAGCCCCCATACAGTTATCAGAATGTGATATTTTGAGTTATATTGGCCCTTCTCTATATATGAATACAGTAATAATATAGTTATGCTAGCTTCATTCTAACTATACATTTCTTAATTCTAACATGGAGCTGCATGGAGCTGAGAACTCTGGGTACTGCTTGGTTATTGATAAGAGTGGCCTGGTCCTGGGCATATTATGTACTTGTGCCCATCCACACCACTGATTTATTATTATTATTATTATTATTATTATTATTCATTGTTGTGGTGGATTAATATTGCATTTGTATGTTGTTTCAATTATTCCTATTGAAGATACACTCCCTGGAACCTGGCACCAAATCCAACAAGCAGAATAGAATGCATAGCTGTGGATTGCACTCTGAAATTGCATGAGCAGGGGTAGGCAACTTTGGCACTCCAGCTGATTTTCGTCATGCCTCTGCCTCTGGGAGTCATGTCCATGACTGTCAGAGTCATGCAGTGCCTCATGGGACTTGTAGTTCCACAAGCACTGGAGTGCAGAGGTTGCCTACCTCTAGTAAGAGTAATAAATATTTCAGCAGCAAGTGACTTCATCCATCTTTGAGCTGCTGAATGACCAATAACTCTTTTCTTAGTGACAGGTTCTCGTTACCTCTAGCCAGTGTTTCTATATTTATGACTCTGCATTCCACCTGCTCAAACCAATGAGCCTAAACAAAGCCAAATCTGTCATATTCTGAATAGGCTAAATTCATGACACAATCTACCTTGTTATGCAGATGTATTAAAGGAAGCCAATGAGGTCTTACTTTCTTTTCATATTCTGAATTACACTTACGTGCACAGGTAGTTAGGGACACGGGGTCAGATTCAGTGACAGTATCAGCGGCTCTTGTATATATCAGGAATGTATATGTTTCTCCAGCTATGAGATTCTCTATTGTAACCTTATTATCGGCATTCACTATTGTATTATTGATCAGTGCAGATGGAGATGTGACATTTGTCTGGATTCTGTAGCTGTAAGAACTCTGATACTCAGAGGGGTTGCTCCAATTCAAAGACACAGAGCTTGTTGTAGACGACGTGCTTTGTAGGGATTGTACCGGCATCGGTTCTATGGAAAAAAAAAGTTCTCAATGCAGTAACAAGAAGTGTAGAGGGACAGCGGGAGGACAGGAGGGTCAGCATCAGGAAAGTCTACAAGCAATGGTGAAAGGAAACATTGCTCAATGACACAAACTGTATAAATGGTATGATAGAGCTCATCTTCCTAATTATAACCCTTATCCAGGCATCAGCACCATTTGTAGCAGCATTTGCATAGCATTTGTAGTTAAAAATACATGCAATTATTTCTAAATACAGTAAATGCATAACTGGACAGTGTATTTTGTTTTATAATATTTGTCTAGGGTCCATATTAAACCTGAACTCCAGAAACAAAAGAAAAAATAATAACTAAATATATACTGTATACCATATTTGCCGTATACGACGGGTTTTGAGACCTAAAAACATCGGCCGAAAATCGGGGGTCGTCTTATACGCCGGGTATGTCGGCTACATATACGTCGGCTACATACAGTATACGCGCTGAGCCAATCACAGCAGGCTTTGTATTAATGAATACAAAGCCTGTATTCATTAATACAAAGCCTGCCGTGATTGGCTCAGCGCAGTATACTGTATGTAGCCGAAGCTACCGTACATACAGTATTACCGCACATCCAGCGGACTGACAGATTAGCCTCCCTGGCGGTCTGATGATTTAATTTTTTTGTTTTTTGTTTAACTTTAAAAAAAGTCTTTATTACAGGCTGGGGGGAGACAAGACCAGTCACCCTGCACAAGGAGAGAGAGCAGCAGGGAGCGGTTTTTATTACAGGAAAGTCCTGCACAAATTTCTGCTGGATTTTTGTACAGATGTAGAAGAAATACATGAAGGACACCAGGAGTAAGAACACACTTGGGGTCTATTCACAAAGCTGCCGAAGGATCTGGTTGTAGCTTCAGCCGATCCTTCGGGCTAGCTTCGGCCGCAGGACCCCTTCGGTTCTATTCACAATAGCCCGTACAGCTCCACCCATCAGGTCCATCAGCAGAGGGCGGGTACAATGCTAGAGGGCGGGGGCATCGCTCGTGCCAAAATAAATAAAAAAAGACACAGCGGTGTTTCTCTCCTTGGCGGCCGGGAGGGGGAGGCTCCCAGAGCGCCCGGGAAAGTTTTTTTCTCTTTTTTCCTTTTTTTTAAAACAGCAGCAGAGCCACCGGACAATAGGAAACTATTGGGCGGAGCTAGCTGGCACTGCAGTATCACTGCGTCATGTACTTTGTTCTAGTGGGAAAGCCTTGTAGTGCTCAGTAACTAGCAGGGACTGTAGAAGACGTCTGTAATTGCAGCCCCGGTGACACAAAACTGCTATAAGCATCAGGTCCCCACTTTGTTACTACATCCCAGGGTTTAAATCACCAGGGGGTATGACAATTTCCACTAATGCAACATATTTAAAAAAATATCCTGTACCGTTGTAAGAAACCAAATGCTCTGATAGAGGAATATGTGTGGTACTTGGCATCTTAAGGTTTTAGTGCATCTCATAAGAGTCATGCTTTAGACCTGCTCTAGGCCCATGAGCTTCCATATTGTTTTTCCATTTTTTATGGCAGTGCCAGCACATTAGCCTTTGTTAGATCCTGTATTGATGCATGGATACAAATTCATTTTATACCTGCCCGGTTTCCTGATTGGATGGGAAGCCTGGGAAGCAGCAGCCACGCTCCCTTGCAGCTTCCCGGGCACCGAGGACTGTGGCTGTTATGTGAGGAGTTTAAGTAGCAAGTTGGGGAACATAGTGGTGGCGTAGTGGTTAGTGCTTCTGCCTTGCAGCACTGGGGGTCCCTGGTTCAAATCCCAGCCAGATCACTATCTGCAAGGAGTTTGCATGTTCTCCCTGTGGGTGTGCTCTGGTTTCCTCCCACACTCCAAAGACATGCTGGTAGGTTAATTGGCTCCTCTCTAAAAATTGGCCCTCTATGTATGTGAGATAGGGACCTTAGATTGTAAGCTCCTTGACAGTAGGGGTGGATGTGCAACTATGTAAAGTGCTGTGTAAATTGCCAGTGCTATATAAATACCTGTAACTATATATATCTCATACATACACAGACCTCAGGCATCCTGGATTCCCACCTCTTCAACTGTCCCTTACCTCTTCCAGCAGTAATGAAGCAGGGAGCCTGGCATGTGGCCATGTGACCACCACCCAGCTTCCTGATTGGATGGGAAGCAACAGCCATGTTCCTTTGCAGCTTCCTGGGCACCAAGAACTGTGGCTGTAATGCAAGTGGCAAGCTATGCTGCACTCTACATCACTGAGCTGGTCACAGAGAGATCTTTGTGATCCCTCCACTGGCTCAGTGACTAAAAACACAGTGCCTGCTGTTGTGGTTTTGGTGTTGTGCTCGGGGTGATTAAGGTGTGCCCTGGCACACCCCCTGCACACACCTATGCTCTGAGTACCCAGCTGCCTTTACCAGAGCGGCTTGTTTGGAAAGCATCCTTACATTGGATCATTTAATTAAGCCTGAAAATCCCAGCACCTCTTAATCATTTATTTCTGAATGTCTGAATCCACAGTAGCCATAAGCAAAACAAGAGCAGGTTCATTGAAAAAGGGGCTAAGCTAGTACAGAAGGTGGTGCTTAGCTGGTAGAGGAGCTGGGGCTTATATAAAGTTTGTTTTTTGCCTTCGCTAGTAATACTAATACATAATGATGTAATGGGTCCTCAAAGGCAAAGTAAGATTTGACTCTCTTGTTATGCATGGCCAGAGTAATTTCTGGGTCCTGCTCCTCTTGCCTGGGTTCGTATTAGAACTCCGCACAGCATTGGTAGATTCTTTTTGTACATATGCTGTAAGACAAAATGAGGAGCAGATAACTGCTTGTCCAGGATGTTTAAGTGATGGAAACTGAGAATTGCAAGTCAGACTGTTGAGTATGATTGGATAAGATGGTTATTAAGTTCCTTGAAGAATCTGTGTAAGCCTCCATTCCTTCTGCCCCCAACAAAGAGCCCAGGCATGAGAGTCATAGATGAAAGCCAATGAAGAACTTTATATAATTTTTGGAGCTAGTGAGTTTATGTAGGAAGGAAGTATTATCTAGAGCCAGTCTAAAGCTAGGAGGATTGTCCCTTTGGGATACTAGTAGGAAGATTACTTGGATGCTCTCCTTATAGTACATGACCAGGCAAAACAATGTTCCAAAGAAGAGATGGGGGGGGGGCATTCCCAAAATTGCTCTTCAGTCTATTTTCACGGTACTAGAACCCTTCCTCACCAATGTAACAACAACCTTTCAGAAAACCACCTCATGGTGGTCACATAAACTCATTTGTATTAATACCACCCCCAAACCCAAACCTATACACTTTTCTAGTTACTTAAAGGACCACTATCCAAAAAATATTGTATTATACTTAATGTAGGAGGTTAATGTTTAATATGAGACTTAATTATTTTAATGTTACAAACCTGTGTCAGTGACAGGAGTGGGAACAGACTTTATTCACTGCTTTGGAAATTTGACTACTTCAGAAAGAGCCAATTCCCTGGCATAGCCCCCTCCCTCATTGCACATCATAGCCCTCTCCTCTTCTGGGTGTGTCTAATTGCTGTCTATGTTGTCCGAGCTCCTCTACCCCCTTCACCTTTTACATAACCTTTTATGTAGCTGCTGAGGGAGGAGAGAATGGAAGTACTATACAGCGTCACTTTAATGACAACTCTAAGTCTACTGGAACTTCTGACATCACATCTAAGATGGCGGCACCCAGTCTCTGGGCTCTCAGATAACTACACAATGGAGGCTTTTACAAGACCAGATCTTATAGACCAGGGCTCAAAATTTCAAGTCCTGAGCTACTAGCCAGGCCTTAAGAGTTACTCGCCATCCTGTGTCCTGCCCACACTCCCCAAGAAGAAACTCTTCAGTGGACTAGTTGTTGCTACAGGCTACTACTGAAACTGGTGTTTGGGACTGTGAAAAAAGGTAAACTTACGAGCATTATATTCAGGGCTTGGGCACAATCTATTAAGGGGTTAGCTCACATTTCTAGAGAGAGAGTTTAGTTTCCATACAGTTATCAAAATGTGATGTGTATTCTTAGAATGTACAGTGCTAGCCCTCCTTTAGACAGAGATGTAAGAAATCAAACGTTTAAGATCAGGGTTTGAGGTAGGCAGTTGAAACTAAAATATCAAACATTCAGTGCAGGGGTGTATCGCAAAAGCTCAATAATTTAGATTAAATCTATGTGAATAGTTGTCTATAAAAAAGTGATCAAAGGATGTATGAAAATTATCTAATAAATGTTTAAAAAACTGTGATAAACTGTGAATAATTGTATCAGGTGTGAATAAATATATTATGAATAAACAATGTGTAACCATTTAGATAAACTGAAACAAAATGAAAATAAACTTCTATCAATATATCCGTGAATAGTCCAAATCTTTTGTAGTTTTTCAAATCTTTAAAAGTCCATAAATGTAAGACACTTCCACAACGAAAATTCAGTGCAATAATGTGTTCAACGAAAAATCCAAAACTTCCACAGTGAAAAATCAGTACAATAATGTGTCCAACACAAATCCAAAAACAGAAGAAAAAACGAAGAAAAAACTACAAAATTTGAAAAACTACAAAAGATTTGGACTATTCACGGATATATTGATAGAAGTTTATTTTAATTTTGTTTCAGTTTATCTAAATGGTTACACATTGTTTATTCATAATATATGTATTCACACCTGATACAATTATTCACAGTTTATCACAGTTTTTTAAACATTTATTAGATAATTTTCATACATCCTTTGATCACTTGTTATAGACAACCATTCACATAGATTTAATCTAAATTATTGAGCTTTTGCGATACACCCCTGCACTGAATGTTTGATATTTTAGTTTCAACTGCCTACCTCAAACCCTGATCTTAAACGTTTGATTTCTTACATCTCTGTCTAAAGGAGGGCTAGCGCTGTACATTCTAAGAATACACATCCAATTAAGGGCCTATTGCCCTTAGTCCATCCGCTTCCCATACCCTTTTAGAAAAACTATCCTTCACTATTTATCATTTTTAACACATATATTTTTAATAATATTTTTTAATAATATTTGTAATATCATTTTTAATACCATATATATCTTATCATTCCCAATTTCCAATAGCGCAAGTTCTTGCAATTAATATATCAGAATGTGATATTTTGAGTTATATTGGCCCTTTAATGTACCTCCTTCTCTGTATATGAATACAGTAATAATATAGTTATGCTAGCTTCATTCTAATTATACCTTTCTTAACTCTTATCATTATTATTATTCATTGTTCTGGTGCATTAATAATGCATTTGTATGTCATTCCAGTTATCTCTATTGATGATGCACTCCCTGGAATCCTAGACACCAAATCCAACAAGCATAACAGAATGCATAGCTGTGGACTGCACCCTGAAATTGCATTAACAGGGGTAGGCAACCTTGGTACTACAACTGATTCCATCATGCCTCTGCCTCTGGATGTCATGCCATGACTGCAGTGGTGTATTTTGGTTTTGTGCTGCCCTAGGCAAGACTAAACTCGGGCACCCCCTCAATCTCAGGAGAGCTGTGCATGGTCTCAGGTGGGCTGTACAGGGTCTCAGGAAAGCTGTGCAGGGTTTATGGGGGGCTGTGTGGGGTCTATGGTGGACTGTGCAGGGTCTCAGGAGGACTGTGCATAGTCCCTTTCCTTGCATACATGTGCTGATCCTCTTACCTGCAGCTAAAAGTGCCATCAGTACCAACAGGATACATTGCAGTCGCAGCCTGCTTCTGGGACATCCTGCCATCAGATCACATGCTATGGCCAGCCCCGAGCCACCCGCTGCTTCTCCATGTGGACCTCCTGTACAAAGCCAGCCAGACCGCATCTCACTGGGCCCTCCCCTCCGCCGGGCAGCTCTCTAATTAGGCAGCCGCTCTTAGGGCCTTGCGGCCACGTAGTTTGCCTCATTAGGCAGCCGCCGCTGCCTGATTCTGTGCCGCCCAGCCTCGGCCCACTGGGGCAAAGGCAAGTCCGGCCCTGTCCGCCTCATTGGTTTGGGGTGGCCTTTTCTGCCGCCCCCCTGGAAAGTGCTGCCCTAGGCAGATGCTTAGTTTGCCTTGTGGTAGATACACCCCTGCATGACTGTGAGAGTCTTGCAGTGCCTCACGGGACGTAGTTCCACAAGCACTGGAGTGCAGAGGTTGCCTACCCCTAGTAAGAGTAATAAACATTGCAGCAGCAAGTGACTTCATCCATCTTTGAGCTGCTGAATGACCAATAACTCTTTTCTTAGTCACAGGTTCTCTTTACCTCTAGCCAGTGTTTCTATAAGACTTTATGACTCTGCATTCCGCCTGCTCACACCAATGAGCCTAAACAAAGCTAAATCTGTCATATTCTGAATAGGCTAAATTCATGACACAATCTACCTTGTTATGCAGATGTATTAAAGGAAGCCAATGAGGTCTTACTTTCTTTTCATATTCTGAATTACACTTACGTGCACAGGTAGTTAGGGACACGGGGTCAGATTCAGTGACAGTATCAGCGGCTCTTGTATATATCAGGAATGTATATGTTTCTCCAGCTATGAGATTCTCTATTGTAACCTTATTATCGGCATTCACTATTGTATTATTGATCAGTGCAGATGGAGATGTGACATTTGTCTGGATTCTGTAGCTGTAAGAACTCTGATACTCAGAGGGGTTGCTCCAATTCAAAGACACAGAGCTTGTTGTAGACGACGTGTTTTGTAGGGATTGTACCGGCATCGGTTCTATAGAAAAGAAAAACAGTTCTCAATGACAGGAATGTATATGTTTCTCCCGCGGTCAGATTCACTATTGTAACCTGATTATCGGCATTCACTATTGTATTATTGATCAGTGCAGATAGAGATGTGACATTTGTCTGGATTCTGTAGCTGTAAGAACTCTGATACTCAGAGGGGTTGCTCCAATTCAAAGACACAGAGCTTGTTGTAGACGACGTGTTTTGTAGGGATTGTACCGGCATCGGTTCTATAGAAAAGAAAAACAGTTCTCAATGCAGAAAAAAGAAGTGAACAGGGACAGCGGGAGGACAGGAGGGTCAGCATCAGGAAAGTCTACAAGTAATAGTGAAAGGAAACATTGCTCAATGACACAAGCAGTATAAATGGTATGATAGAGCTCATCTTCCTAATTATAACCCTTATCCAGGCATCAGCACCATTTCTAGCAGCATTTAAAAATACATGTAATTATTTTTAAATAAATGCATAACTAGACCCAAGTGTATTTCATTTTAAAATATTTGTCTAGAGTCCATATTAAAGCTGAACTCCAGGAACAAAATAAATATATTTATATTTCTCCCTAGCCATAAAGGATATAAATCCACTTTGTGTGCACAAAATGCCTTTGCAAATCTAGACATTACCTTGTAAAAATTGTGATAACATCATCACTGAGCTGTATATAGCCTGTGCAGAGAGCAGAGCTGTGGGAGGTACCCAGCAGGCCCCACCCAGTATAGACTGCCTGCAGAAAACTACAGGAGGGCGCGGGGACAAGACCAGTCACCCTGCACAAGGAGAGAGAGCAGCAGTGACCGGTCTTTATTACAGGAGGGGGCGGAGACAAGACCAGTCACCCTGCACAAGGAGAGAGAGCAGCAGTGACCGGTCTTTATTACAGGAGGGGGCGGAGACAAGACCAGTCACCCTGCACAAGGAGAGAGAGCACCAGTGAGCGCTTTTTATTACAGGAAAGTCCTGTACAAATTTCAGCTGGATTTTTGTACAGATGTAGAAGAAATACACGAAGGACACCAGGAGTAAGAACACACTTGACTCTTGTATTTAAACAACATTTTAAATATGCAAAAACAGTGAACACCTACTTGTGAATAGAAACTGGCTGACAGGCGTGCTCTGATACCCCCGGACACCGACTGTCACCACACTGATAGTGTAATTGGTCCCAGATGTCAGGCCGGTAATTGTAGAAGATGTGGAAACTTCCGTATAAGTTCTGACCGATGATGCAACTGATGAATTCCAATAACTAATACTGTAGTTCTTTGTTACTCCGTCCATATTTGCTGGATTACCCCAAGATATTGAAATGTTGTGAGTTGCAGCTGTAGCAATTATCAGAGAACTTGGCGGGGTCGGATCTGTCAAATATAATATGAATATTATTATAAATTATATATAAATTCCAGTGCCAAGGGGTTCAGACCTTCATTCTCTGCCTCTCGCAGCCTCTTAGGAACAATAGCAGAAGACCTAACACTGTTGTTTACAATGTAGTGTAGACATAATGGCACTCATTCAGGCTTATTCCATGGAGCAGTGCAAAGAGCAACAGGGATTTGTATTAGTCTGTACTGACCAATCACTAAATCATACGGCTGAAGAAATCATTCTGATTGGCTGCTATTAATCACTGCGTCATGTACTTTGTTCTAGTGGGAAAGCCTTGTAGTGCTCAGTAACTAGCAGGGACTGTAGAAGACGTCTGTAATTGCAGCCCCGGTGACACAAAACTGCTATAAGCATCAGGTCCCCACTTTGTTACTACATCCCAGGGTTTAAATCACCAGGGGGTATGACAATTTCCACTAATGCAACATATTTTGAAAAATGGTAGAGGAGCTGGGGCTTATATCAAGTTTGTTTTTTGCCTTCACTAGTAATACTGATACATAATGATGTAATGGGTCCTCAAAGGCAAAGTAAGATTTGACTCTCTTGTTATGCATGGCCAGAGTAATTTCTGGGTCCTGTTCCTCTTGCCTGGGCTGGGCTCGTATTAGAACTCCGCACAGCATTTGTAGATCCTTTTTGGACACAGAATGTAAGACAAAATGAGGAGCAGATAACTGAGGGACATAACTGTTTGTCCAGGATGTTTAAGTGATGGAAACTGAGAATTGCAAGTCATACTGTTGATTATGAATGGATCAGATGGTTATTAAGTTCCCTGCAGAATCTGTGTAAGCCTCCATTCCTTCTGCCCCCAACAAAGAGCCCAGGCATGAGATTCATAGATGACAGCCAATGAGGGACTTTATAGAATTCGGTCTAAAGCTAGGAGGATTGTGCCTTTGGGAGGATACTAGTATGAAGATGACCAAAATGCCTTGCTTATTGTAC